ATTGAGCTCAATGATCAGCCAGAGTCATAATAAATGGGGGAGCAGTTGCAAGAGGTCAAATGGTCTATTACTACCTGCTATATTTGTGACTACAACTAGACATAGAGGGAGGACAAAGAACAAAATGCTGAGGGCACATGGGTGACATACTTGTAAATATATGTTTACAGATGTGAATATTATCCCCTTTCAATCATTTGTCTGGTCAACTGTCAGTTTAACTGTAGGACCTGGTTACATGGCTACCATGTAAACTCATCCCTGAAGAGTACCCTGGATAGCAGCAGATTTTAGTGATCCTTCAACCCTTGCAATCAAGCATTTTAGCATTTTACCCTTGGCCACAGTGAGCTCATTAATGTGAATGCTTTGCCTCGACTGGTGTTTCAGACTTACGACAACTTGATCACAGTGCACGCTTCTCTGGAGGCAAAGGTTCATTTTGTTGGCGTTTCATGAGCACAAATATATTCAAGAGTGATAACCAATGCTTAATTCACATTCAAACCAGATCTCAATGAAACATGTCCACCTTGCCTTGCCACCCTGAAAAAAAAGAGCTTACCCCTCCTACTGGGAATGACATTTTTCTTCCTTATGAACAGCGAATTGCACACAATCCAGGTCCTGCAAGATTCACGCTTCGCCTGACAGTCAAGGTTTCCCCCCCCAACCTCAACAATGCATGTGTCCTTTTTGTTACTATCTTTGTCAAACTCAACAGCTTTTGATCTCCCCAGATTCCCAACCTACCCTTTTCATTTAACAGGCAATATTGGCATTCCCCCTTGACTTACCAGGTTGTTAAGCTTATTATCCAATCCATTGACTGCAGACTGAAGCCAGGGCGGATGGGGAATTTAGACCAACACCCCTCCTGCCAACAGTGTAACAGAACCCTGTGCCCACTCATGATTCAGGGAGAGTTTGGCTTGACAGGAGACACAGTAGTGGTGGATGGTTGTTTTTCAGACTGGAGGGCTGTGACCAGCAGTCTTTCACAGAGATCAGTGCTGGGTCCACAATTGTTTGTCACTTATGTAAACGATTTGGATGAGAATTTAGGAGGCATGGTTAGTAAGTTTGTGGATGACACCAAAATTCGTGGCATGGTTAACAGCTAAGGTTATCTCAGATTAGAAAGGGATCTTGATCAATAGAGTCAATGGGCCAAGGAGTGGCAGGTGGAGTTTAATTTGGATTAATGCAGGGCATTGCATTTTGGTAAGACGAACAAGGGCAAGACTTATACAGTTAATGATAAGGCCCTGGGTAGTGTTGTCAAACAGAGTGACCTAGAGGTTCAGATACATAGTTCTTTGAAAGTTGCATCACAGGTAGACGGCCGTTACAGTGGTGTTTGTCTCGCTTGCTTTTCATTGCTCAAACCATTGAGTACAGGAATTAGGACGTCATATTGAGGTTGTACAGGACATTGAGGCCTCTTTTGGAGTACTGTGTACAGTTCTGGTTACTCTGCTATAGGAAGGATATTACTAAATTGGACAGGATTCAGAAAATATTACTAGGATGTTGTCAGGCCTGAACGGTTTGAGTTAGAAGGATAGGCTGGGATTCTTTTCATTGTAGCATAGAAGGTTGAGGGTTATAGAGGTTTATAAAATTGTGAGGGGCATAGATAAGGTGAATATCAAAGGTCTTTTACCTAGGATTGGGGGGGGGGGGGGGGTTCAAAAACAGGGCATAGTTTTTAAGGTGAGAGGAGAAAGGTTTAAGAGGCTCCTGAGGGGCAACTTTTTACACAGAGTGGTCTGTGTTGGAATGAACTGCCACAGTAAGTGGTAGGTACAGCTGCAATATTTGGATCGGTGCATGAATACAGAAGGTTTAGAAGGATATGGGCCAAACGCAGCTAAGTGGGACGAAGTTAGTTCGGGAAACTCGTTCGGCATGGACGAATTGGACAGACGGGTCTGTTTCCATGCTGTATGACTGTCAGATCCTACCTTTGTATTTGGAGTTGACTCTTTTCACTGTCATTAGGCTCTCTGCATCTCAGTATAATGTGTCCCGTACCCAGACTTCAGTTTCCCACTACATTACATGTATTTCCCCGATAAGCCCCCTTGATGTTTACTGCCCAAATCCCAAGACTAACTGCAGCTCACCACCTGGACTGACTTGTGAGGACTCCCCAACTGACTTAGCTGTAATCCCTGAACTGGTCTGACCTGACCTACAGCAATGGCCATGGCCCAATCCCTAAACAGTACAGACACAGATCTTGAACCCTGGTAACACCAATTACGGCCAACCTGATCAGATGACCTTGACTAAATGCTGCAGCAAACCCTGACTGCTTGTACTCCCTTCTCAGTCCACTAAGACAGGTAGCCTTTAACTTTCAGTCGTGGTTATTTGGTTGAAGAACATGCAGTACGTTTGCAATGCAAGCAGCTACCACATTCTATAGTCAATGTTTCCTCCAAACTGCACAGTTGCAGAGGTTCCACTGATGCCAATTGGCAAGGGAGCAGGCTATTCATTGGAAATAGGGCGTATGAGGGGACCTAGAAGATGGGTAGTTATGGATTCTTTATTTCACTTTGCGGACACAGCTTTGGAGCCCTGAGGCAGGCCTTTGCATGGCCCACCTTGGCAACTGGCAGACTCATCAGGTTTTCTTAAGTCATCATGCCACACTTTCAATCCAGCCCACACTGGACTGACAGTGGAGGGGGTAGGGTAATGCTGGTGGCCCTTTTAAAACGCTGGGTTCACAGACCTGGGAATTCTCCAGCCTCTGTGGCTCCAAGCTGAGAACAAAAATCAGGGCCATTAAAGTCTGTTCATTTCTACACAGATGCTCCCTGACCTGCTGAGTACTTGCAGCATTTTCTACTTTTATCTGAGATCATGTTCCTCATTGAACAAAGAATGTGTTAGGTAATTTTTAAAAAAATCATTAACAGCAAATAAAATGATGCACAATGTGATACAACTATATGCTTTTAACATTCACATTCACACACTTTAATATCATGAGAATTTATTCAGACATGGCTTGTGTATTTAATGTACAACTTTTACAGAATGCTTTCTTACAACATCTGTTTCCAAACAGTTGAATAGCAAGATACAGTAACAAATCGCCAAAGACATTTTAAATAGAAATCTTTATTTACAACATTAACATCGAGGCAAATAAATCAGTAAAAGCAATATCTGCTAACAACCTTAATCTTTTTTAGTTATTTTATTATTTTTTTTTTTAAAACAAATTGTCTATCATATCTTGCTTTGCATGAAATGTAACATTGGGATACAAATAGCAATATTAGATATCTTTAGACGGAGCTAAATTAAATCTGCACTATTCATCAATACTGTAGGTCTCCTCGAGTTGGCCTTTCAAATATTGCTTTTACAGCATGATAAATTTATCAATTTCATAAGTTTTGTTTAAAACAGGTGTCTACCACCAAATTGATAAAGAAAATTAAACAAAAATTAGGTTGAGGCTGAAAGAAAAAAACAAAAAGAAAAGAAAAGTGACTCATCATAATACCTGCACTGAATTATTCCTTATTTAAATAATAAATAGTTTTCTCCAATGGGTAAACCTATACATTAACTATATTAATGGACAATTTGGTGTTATGAGTAAGTAAAGAGTTTGAATATGCATGATCTGATTTCTATAGTAATCTGTAATCTCAACAAAAACAACCAAAAATCAATTTTCTACTCTCACATTTTAACTAAAAATCCCAAACCTCCAAAAGCACCTAGTTCAGATCGCACATATAGTTATTATACAGGAATTCAAAACATTCATTTCCTAGATTAAAAATATAATTCCAATTCATTCATAGTGCTCTGAATGTATTGTGTTGTGAAGCATTATTAGGTAAATTGGTCATTTACGGCCAGGAAAATGGGGGCAGAAGCTAATATGTAAATATCTGGAGACTGGAGACAGAAATGCAGCCCAGCCCTTTGAGCTTCCAATATCAGATACAGACATGAGTAAAGGTCAGTGTTCAGACTCACAGAATGATGTCAATTTGCAGGCAATGATACTCATGTTTCGGAATAAAGTCCGAATTGTATAAAATTTTCATCAAAATAATATAGTACTAGGCCCATGAGGTACATTTTCTCCCCTTTTCTTGAATGTACTGACTTCACAATGGAGCACTGTTCCACAGGCACTGGATGTTTCAGGTACCTGATCCAAACATCAATTACCCATCCAGAATCCTGGAGCAAATGCATCATGAGGCTATTTTATTACAGTCGGCTTCTAGCCGACCTAGCCCTGTATTCCACATATCACAATTTTTACACAAACTCCAGCAGGTTCAGTTGCAAGATTCCTTGGTGGGTTTCTCCTCCCCAACCCACAGTCATAGAGGACAACTGTAGTGCCTATCATTGCTGTCCTATCAGTATAAAATAGAGATTAAAGCTGGAGACATTCTGGTTTGCATGATTCAGTTACTCTAGATATCTTGAAATATCAGGATGTGAATCCCCGAGGTATCAGAGACTCAAAATACTGCTAACTTATGTAGTGAGGTGAACTGTACATCACACGAGCAAGTCAGAACACCCTTTTACTAGAAGGAAAACAGGCATTTTCCACTCTTTGAAGCTCTAACAGGAGTTGTTGCACTGATTGTTTGTAAATATTATTCACCTTAAGAAAAGGGGGATTGAATTGAGACATTCAACAGTTAAGTCAAGTTTGCATCCTTTATAAGTATCTCTACACAAAAACTATTAGAACTTGTTATTACTTTATTTTTTAAAAGTCAGCTTGTAGTAAATTCTGTAAAAACTTAAAAATCAAACACCAGCATATCATACTGCTTCTGAAAAAAGCCTGTTTTTTTCTTTAAATCATGTAAAAACCAACTCATTTTCGTAACTTAGGAACTCTAAGCAATGTCCTTCTTTTTGGGATGATGCAAGTGATTTATCCCTCACCATGCACCGTGATCCAGCACAATAAAACAAAATCTGGAATCAACAGGTAGCTTAGCAAGTTACCTTTCGGTTGAAAATTTAATAATCATATCGCTCACAGTACCAAGTCAACAGCTGTAAATGGGCATTTTTTCCAGTGAGGAATGTATGTACATCAATCTGCGGTTTTAGATCTGAACATTTTTATCCAAGGAATGATTCCTGCTAAATAGCCATAATATTCAGAGTTTTGGTGTATGTGGTATGGAGATCAGACAAATCATCATGCCTAAATTTAACAGGGGAAAGCAAAGCCAAGTATAAAATAATAATGAATAATAAAATATGCATTTTAATAGGCTGTTTTCTTAAGGACACTGTCAAATACAAGTATGGTATTTTTAATATCCACTTCCTCCTCAGGATGCAGAAAAGTGCAACTGAATAAAAATGAAACATAGAATGAAGATCAACGTGGAAAACTAAGGATCAGTTACTGAAATGCAGCCAACATCAGATTACTGGGTTAATGCCATGATCCCTCACGTTATCAAACCAATTTAGTCAATAGTTTCTGTTTTTGATTTGATTTGACCTCAGTCCAGACGCGCAGCAAACCTGAGTGTTTTTAACAGCAAAAGGTTGTCATCATCAATGTAAACGTACCATGATTAATCATTCAATTCTGAAAACACTCTCTCTGTGAGCTACCCATCTACAAATAAGGCAAGTGTGTACTGTATTCCCACTCCCAAAGCTCAACTTTATTACTACAGGGTTGAAACTCTATTGCCAAATTGGTAGAAACAGCAGGTACACAGCCATTTTTGTTTTCAACTTGGCCAGGCAACAGCTGAACTATAATACCCCCGTCGCATGGATTGCTCAGCTCTATGAAGCGTGGTTGGCTTCAGACAGCCAAATTTTATTCTGGGTCATTTTCACACCAGAGAGCGCTAGTCAATGGCTGCTAAATGCCTGTCCCACATTCAAAATGTAGCAATAATGGCTCAAAGAAGCCTGCAACGATGCTTCTGGAAAGCATTCAGATCATTTCATTAAAAACCCCTAAATAAATTCAGAGTCATAAAGGGAATCTTCTAAAATTAAAAAAATGAGGTGCTGCTACTTAAACCTTATCTAATAAAGCAATAATTCTGTTTCCTGACAGTTGACACACAGTAACACATCTTAAGAACACAAAAATTAAATCAAATATTCGCTTTGTTTCACATAAGATTGAGAAGATGTCATTAAAAAGGTCAGTAATTGTGGAATATATAAGTCACCGTTAAGAGTAACTATTTTTCTTTTCAACGCAGTTAAGTGATCAATATGATCAGGCAAGACTTCAGGACAGTAGTTGCACAAAATGTACCCATTGCTTCAACTAAAATAGATTCCACTTAAGATGATATTCACATAAGTTGCCAAGAGCAGCATTTTTTTCCTATTCCACTCGTCTAGCACTTGGTTTTTTTTCATAGAATCCCTACAGCGTGGAAACAGGCCCTTCAGCCCAACAAGTCCACATTGACCCTCAAAGCATCCCACCCAGACCTATCCCCCTATAACTCACCTAATCTCACACATCCCTGAACACAATGGGCAATTTAGCATGGCCAATGACACCTAGTCTGCACATCTTTGGACTGTGGGAGGAAACCAGACCACCTAGAGGAAACCCACGCAAACATGGGGAGAATGTGCAAACTCCACACAGACAATTGCCAGAGGGTGGAATCGAACCCGGGCCCCTGGCACTGTGTAGCAGCAGTGCTAATCACTGAGCCACCGTGTTGCTTCTCTACAAATTCAAGCTGCAATAACTAAGTTAACCAAACTTGACACAATCTTTACCTACCATAGTTCCAGTAACACCATAAATATTGATCTTGTTTAAAAAATTAACAAAATCTATAGTGGCCTGACTCAACTCACATTAGCAGTGTGGAAACCTTACAGTCCATTGAATTGTTGCATAGATTTCTGTACCATCTGAACATTTGACTTCAATCATTAGGGAGATAGAAGTCTCCATTTAAAATGCTGCATCCTTTTGGGGAAAAATATGTTTTCAGTGCACTCATTCTGCACTCAAATTTGAGTAAATTTTTCCTTCAAATACATTAGCAGACATATCCAAACTTGCGGATAGCTCCAACAAATCAATAAATGTTGGAGTAGAAAGAAATGAAAGAAAACAAATGGTAGTATGAAAAGAAAAATAATTTACATTAGCTATGATAAGCATTTAGGAATACAACTACAAACTGGCTTAGATGTGCAAAAATTATTCCACTCCCTTGTGGTGAGCATATTATCTTTATGCTGCTTTGTCAACCTAACATCTATAGTTTAATCTGTTTCTTTCAACTACAGTATAATTTCCATATTTCTTACAAACTTTGGAAAAAAATCACTGCAATCTAGAAACTTGTTTTTGTTTAAACAAATCTGAACACACCTTAACATTAGTGGCTCTAATTGGTAACAGAGTTACTTCCAGATTAATTTGAGAAGAATTTTTAAACAGAAAATTGAAAGATATACCCAAAAAAAATGTCAAGAGCAGTCAAAATTTAGTTTCGCAGTTAAACAGAAAAATGTCCACGGAATTAATTGTTATCGCTATGACTTGCATTATGTTCAGTCCTGTTAATTATTCACCAAGTCATCATAAAGCTTGCTTATTTAGAATCATACAGAATCATTAGCTTACACTCAAAATAATCAGGCAGAATATTGTTCCTTTGGAGTATAATTATATATAGCAAGCTGACGTTTGAGGCAAGACCACTTAAAACCTGTTATAAAAATCGAATCTTTTACTTCAATGATACAAATCTGATTCCATCCCGTTATATTTGTAGAAGTAATGGAATGCCAAAGTGCCCCTTCACAAGGATCAATAAATCATCAATCACCATAGCATAGACACTGAATTAATCCTTAGCAAATTTACAGGCAACCCCTCTCTTTCTCTGTCACACAGAGTTGAGGGGGTGGCCAAGCAGCATTTGATGGGCAATTCTATTTCAGTATAAACAAAACAAATACTAGTGGGGAAAAAAAGTCATTTTATAAACTTTTGATCAGTTACTGTTTGGTCAAAGTAAGCACTGATTTTCATGTAAGAGTTATGCAGTTGCACTTTTCAGAAGCACCTCTTTTTATAGATATATTGATAGCGAGAGGAGGAGGAGAGAAGAAAGAAATACTTTAGAAAGTTAAAAGCTGGATTGGCAGCACAAGATAAAATCTGGGCGATCAACATGGAAAAAATCTAAAGTCTTTGCACATTTTTACCGATTGGCTCAATTGTCAAGGCCTGGTGCAAACAGGACAGACAACTTGAACTGGTGCTAAAAGGCAAGTGTACAGAAATAAGAGTCTGTCGAATATTTAGCCTCACCAATGCTGTGCAAAAAAACGAAATCAGAAAGTGTGACCTATAAAAGTGTATATATAATATAATATTGTATTCATTATTTACAAGATATATTCACAGGAGCCAGCTTTTCAGGAGTTTTATGCTGCAGTACCTTGCTTTGAGTCAACAGCACGCACCTTGTATTTACCCCATTTGAAATTTTATCTGCAATATTTTAAAAGTAAAGAAGATTATTGCTTGGCATTGCATATGCAGATTTAAAAAGTTGGACATTGGTCGTACAGTTGTGTTCCATTGCAAAATATCAATGGGATATTTAAAGCAGAGATGATTTGGAAAACAAAAACAAGAATTTACTAATGTGTAAATATACATAGAGTGATCAGGAAACACTGCAGCAATCCTTGACTACTTCAACCCTCTCTAAAGTGCATCAACGAGCACACTGTCCTATGCTGACACTCAGCAGTCACATTTTTCCCTCAAATGTTTGTAAAAATAACGACCATACTACAAATGACATTTTACAATACTGCCAAAATAAAAATTAAAACAAGTCTAGGTACTGCGTTAAAGTAAATGCAAGATTTGGCAAGCAAAAGGTAGCAACCAGATGACACTAAAGGACAATTAAAAACCAAAGCAAATCCAAAACGATTTGAGTTTTCGACCCAGTGGTGTACTGCTGCCAAGAGTCTTCTTTTTGATAAAACAAACACATCTAATAAAAACAGAGAAACAATTCTCTTTTGTTAAGAAATGTACACCTTAGCAGGCTGGCACAGTGGTTCTAGTTGGGCTGCACCAATCCCCAGCAGCACACAAGGTGGCGCAATTTCCATCTCTGTGCAAGTGTCTTTGCTGTATGTTCTCACAGTGCATTGCTCTCAAAAGCTGCGTGGACCCAAAATAACCTTTTTTGGATTGATGATCAGCCATCCTGAGTTGTCAGCAATATTTCTGTTTTAGAGAAGGGGAAAAAAAAAGGTAATTAAGACACTTGGAGAGTCTGCTATTTAGTATGGACTAGTTAAATATAAAAACTACACCATTGAGTCAAATGACACAATCAATACTGGTGCACAGAATGGAGGTGTCAGGAGCTGGAGACACCATGCACTTTTGTTTTCATGAAAAAAAATCAGACCCTACCAAATCAAAGTTAGATTAAATGCAGAGCCCAGCTTCCTCCATTTTGCCCCAACGAAATGTCTTTTTCACCTACTAGCCCAAAACTTCTCCCGATTAGTTATAACACTAAGTAAAAATAAGAGTTGTCAAATACAAGTGAAATACTTGACCGACAATCTCAGAGATTGTTATGCCTATGTAGTATTTCTATTTTCCATATCAGCTACTCTTACAGCAAACATAGTTAAGTTATGGAAGCTGTAGCTGTTCTCGTTGAATCAAATACTGATGAGGGGGTGTACACGGTGATGACAGTTTGGATAAGGTGGACAAAAAAAACACTGTTCCCATTGGCTCACAGGACAAGGATTAGGAGTCACAAAGTTGAGGTTTTGGGGAAGAAATGCAAGGTGGGGAGTGTGAGGAAGAATTTTTGTATGCTGATGTGTCGAAATTGGCTGGAGGGAAACCATGCATATTGTATATTCGTCTGTCAAACAAGGGATTATTACACAAGATTAGGGCTGACAGAAGTCTGTATTATATATTAATATAGACAGAGGATTGGTCAGCTAGAAGCACACAGACAGTAGAAGTAAACAGATCATTTTCAGGATGACATTACAAGGATCAGCATTTGATCCTGAACTCTTTACAATACATATCAATATCTAGATGTGGAGAATGGGCACAATACAGCCAAGTTTGATTATACTACAATGCTGGATGGGAAAGGAAGTTGTATAAAAGACACCGAGGCTGTGTGGGATATAAAATGGTTACAAATTGGCAAGATGACAGAGTATAAAATGGGGAAATCTGAAAATTTTCACTCTGCTATTAAACTGAGGAGATTTTTTTTTTAAGAAAGAAAACCAGCAGATACTGTCATTCAGAGTGTTGTGTGTCCATGAGTTAAAGGTTACTGTAGGTAGCTGATGTGGAGTTGCAGCCACAATCAGAGCAGCAATGGTCTTATTGAACCTGCAGGCTTGATGGGCCAAATGACTTACTCTGGTCTTAATTTGTATGTTAGCAAAATGTTAACATGGAAGTACTGTACAGCAAGACAAATCAAGGTGGTGGCACGGTGGCTCAGTGGTTAGCACTGCTGCTGCACAGCACCAGGGTCCTGGGTTCGATTCCACCCTCAGGTGACAGTCCGTGTGAAGTTTGTACAATCTCCCCGTGTCTCCTCCACGTGCTCTGGTTTCCTCAGACAGTCCAAAGATGTGCATGGCCATGCTAAATTGCTCATAGTGTTCAGGGAGGAGTGGATTAGATGGGTTATAGGGGGATGGGTCTGGGTGTGATGCTGAGGGTTGGTGTGGACTTGTTGGGCCAAAGGGCCTGTTTCCACACTGTAGGTATTCTATGATCTTCCATGATCGAAATTATGAAGGCAAATTAGTGATTTTGAAATTGGCGTGTAGGAATCAAGAAATTTTACTGGAATTACTGGCATTGGGTTTTGTTGAGTCCACGCTTACAACACAATGTATAGTTTACATTTCCTTATTGAAGAAAGGCAATACTTGCCCTAGAGGCTTACAACAAAGTTTCACTAGATAGTTTCCTGGAATGAAATATGTGCTCTTCAAAGAGAGATTGATTGGAAATGATCTATGATCTTTGATGTTTAGAAGAGTAAGGGGTTGCTATTTAGAAATGGGATGTGGAGGAACTTTTTCAATCAAAGGGTTGAAAATCTTTCGAAATTTCTATTGCAAAGGGTTATGGATGTTCAGTTATTACAAATATCTCATGACATGATTGAAGACTCAAGACGCCATGTGACCTATGTCTGCTCCTATTGCTTCTGTTCTTATGTTTTCACATTACAACAATGACCACACTATTGAATTATATATGAAGCACTTGGGACAGAGCAACATTGTGAAATACTTGACTTATATAGTGCAAGTTCATTCTTTCTTGTTTTAATGAGGAGCCCTACCTGTTCTGGACCCATAGTTGACATCCCTGACACAGACATTGGAGTCATGCCTATTTGCCCTGGCATCTGACCCATAGTGCTGCCAGTAGCATTTACTGGCATATTGGCATTCATATTCATCAGACTGTTGTATGTGCTGGCATTGGTCTGTTGCCCAAATTGTTGTGCAGACTGTTGCGGAAATGTACTGCAGAAAGACAAACATGAAGTCAATTAAATAAACTGACATACACTTCAATAGACTTTAATCCAGACAGGGTAGACTAATTTATGAACTGACCTCAACATAACACAAAGTAGGTTCAGATGAAAAAGGCCTTTTAATTTCATCTTCCCAAAATACCACTC